TTTTAGATTCCACGCATAAGTGTGATCACATGGTATTTGTCCTCTCTGCCTTTTTTCACTTAGCATAATACCCTCAAGGTCCATTTGTGTTGATGCAAATGCTAAGTTTTATTCTTTCCATGGATGAATATGACTCCATTGTTTGTATGTCTGTGCAGTACATAAGCACATGCATATCTGGTAGGACCCTCTTATCTTTGGTTAACCTTTCGACTTCAGTTATCTATGGGTCATGGATCAACTCTTGTCATAAAATATTAGTGCACTCACATAAGTTTTTATTACAATACTTATGTTTATATTATTTTGTTATCACTTATCATTGTTAATCTCTTACTGTGCCTAATATATAAATTAAACTTTATCATAGTGTGGATGAATAGGGGAAAAACAATATTTACAGGATTCAGAACTATCTGTGGTTTCAGGCATCCACTGGATGCTGTGGCATTTATCCCCCATAGATAAGAGGGGACTACTTAATCACATTCTTGTATCTATCTATTCACAATGGATACTTAGATTTTTTCATATCTTGACCATTATAAAATATTACAATTAATATGGGGGTACAGGTATCTTTCAAGTTAGTATTTTTTGTTTTCTTCAGATAAATAGCCAGAAGTGAAATTGCTGGAACAAATGATAGCTTTATTTTTAAGTGGAACCTCCATTTTTATAGTGGTTGCATCAATTTACATTCTCATTAGTGATTTCCTGACTTTTTGGTGATATTTCATTGTGGTTTTGATTTGCATTTCTCTGATGGCTAGATTGAACACCTTTTTTGGTGACCGTTAGTCATACTTATATGTCTCCTTTGGGTAAATATCTATGTAGATCTTTTGCCCATTTTAAAAATTGGATTGTTTATTTTTTTTTGCAGTTGAAATGTTTGAGTTCCTTATATATTTTTGATAGTAATTCCTTATCAGATATGACTTCTAAATATCTTTGCTCAGTTAGTCACCTTTTCATTTTGCTGATGTTTCCCACTATTGCTATGTTGTGAAGAAACTTTGTCCCCGCTTTAGAAACCACATCAGTGGTTGACTAAATTTCTCGGTCCCATTAAACTGTGGGGATACATATTAAGTTGAACATGTTCTATATCAGGAGTAACCTATCCTATTGGAAAATGTCTTAGCTGAACATTTTCAACTTGCAAATTGTACTTGTATACTGAAGATGTGTATGGCAATTTCTCCCTCTCTTCCAAGCAGCCCTCCCATTACTTAGACTAATATCACCCTTCTTTTTACTCATAGAAAAACAAGCAAGCACAAATATACATAGAATATATATGTAGATAGGTTATATATAGTAAGATATTTATAGTAAGATATTTATAGTAAGATTTCATTTTTACTAAAATGAAATCATACAATTTCTCTGCAGCTATGCAACTTGCTTTTGTCACAATCTGCACAATTAGTGTGCATTCATCTGCTTTTGTTTCCTGTGATTTCTGTAACAAACTACCACCAAGAGAGTACTGGAAGTCAGAAATCCCATATCAGTTTCCCTGGGTTACAGTCAAGGCTAGTGGGCGGTACAACTCCTTTGCAGAGGCCCTGACCTAGTGGCTGCCTTAATTCCTTGGCTGTGACCTCTCCCATCTTCCAGGCATATCACTGCAATCTGTTTCATCATTGTATCACTTCCTCTTATAAGGACACTTGTGATTACATTAATTGTCAACCATATAATTCAGGATGAACTCCCTATATGTGCAGTTTAATTACACCTGCAAAGTTCTTATTGCTGTTAAAGATAATATCTGCAGGTTCTAGGGCTTAGGAACTGGATTGGGGGGACATTATTCAGTGTGCCACAAGATCTAAACCCATTTTTAAATTGTATGTCTTTATACAAAACAGTTTTATATAAAGGGGCTCTATCACCTATGCTGGAGTGTTTTTTAATTTAATTTCATATTTTTTAAAGAACAGGTCTTTTTTAAGATTTACTTTTATTATCTATTTATGCATACAAGAACTGGGGGGTAGGCCAGATGTGTGGGGTTGGGGATTCACCAGAGACAGAGTGGGAACCAGAAAAACACTGCTGAGGGGAACAGTGGGGTGAAACAGGAGAGGTCTGTTGTGCCATTTGGGTCACCTCCCTGGCTGGGGATTGAACTCATGCTGCAGTGGCTGGTGATAGCTTAATAGCACTGAGATTTTAACCCCTGCACCATTAGGGAAGCCTATGCTAGAGTGTTGTTTTTTTTAAAGATTTATTTGTGCATACAGAACTGGGGTACAAGCCAGAGGCGAGGGGCTGTGAGAGGATTCACCAGAGACAGAGTGGGGAGCACAACAGGCAGACTGAGAAGTACACTGCTGAGGGGAGCA